TCCTGCGAGCCGGCGGGGTGGGGAGGCGTGCAGGGATGCGGGGAGCTGGTGCTGGAAGCGAGGGACAAGATCAGAGGTTCGCAGCTTGGTGGAGGGGCGTCCGCACGCCTTGCTTCCCTCCCTGCTCGCAGCCTTGAAATCCAAACGGCGGTGCAGTGCTTTCTAGGCTCTAACGGAGCGGGTTCCAGAGCGAATTGTAATGCAGCTGGTCCCGCGGCTTCTGCTTGCTGCCTTTGGGGTCGGAGGGATAAGGGAATTACTTTAGCATGCAGCATCGTGAATGCTATTAATTTAGGCAGCCGGCTGCATGCTGTCCCTCGGCGCCTTCCCTGCCTGCAGGGATGTAAAACACCCTCGGGTCCCAGCGGTGGGACCTGGGCAGCCACCAGCAACCCTCCTGCCCTTTTGTCCCTCTCAGGGCCGAAACCAGGTCACTGGGTAACGGGTGCAGGCGCTGCATCCTCCAACCCCTGCTAAGCCAGGCGAAAAATTGCCCTGTCGTTCACGGGGCAGCCTGTCCCCCTGCCCAGGCGAGCTGCTCCCCACCTCCCCACGCTGCCGTGTCCCGTCCGTGCTGGAAGGCATCCAGCCCTTCCCTGGGTCAGCCTGCTCAGCAACTCACTTATCCCCGTAACTTCATTTCTCCCCGCTCCGCAGTGACGAGGGGGGTTTATCGAGCACAGCCTGACAGCAGAGAGCAGCATGAGCAGGAAGACTGTGCAGAGACCTGGCCCATCTATTTATTTTTTTTCCCTTCCCCAGGCTGTCTGGAGAATAACATCTCTTAAAATACTCTGCAAACCAAGCCACTGACAGGCAGGCAGGCTCACAGCGCAGGAGGACCTGGGTACCGTCCACCAGCCCATTGCTTTGGGCCACCGACCAGGCGGGAGTCGGGCTCTGTCTAACAAATGCCACGTTGCCATGGAGTCAAAGACAGGATTGAATCCAATTACGTCGCTGTTGGGAAACAGAGTTAAATGTAAACAGCAGCAAGTTGTGTTTTCTCGTTCCTTCTGCAGATCTTCTCCATCGTGGTGTTCGGCTCCATCGTGAACGAGTGCTACGTCAACAAGGACAGCCAGAACCCCGAGCTGCTCTGCATCTTCAACGAGAATGAGAGTGCCTGCAGTTACGGCATCGCCGTTGGCATCATTGCCTTCTTTGGCTGCATCTTCTTCTTTATCGTGGACCTCTACTTCCAGCAGATCAGCAGCGTGAAGGACCGCAAACGGACCGTCCTGCTGGACCTCGGCTTTTCAGGTACGTCTCTGGCTTTGCCGTGCTTGCCAAGGACGATGCTGGCTCCGCGGGCAGCGCGGGGTCGTTGCTGTGCCCTGCAGCTCCACGCTTGTGTCCTCCCCTCTCCTCCCACGGCGTGGCACGACTCGTGTGCCTCAGGCGGGGAGAGCAGGGCTGGCAGATGGGTTGTCCCATCCAGCCATCAGCTCGGAGGCAGCAGCGAGGAAGCCGGTGCGTGGCAGCCCGGGGACAGTGGGGTGTCCCACTCGTCTGTGTCACTTCTGCACCCGGAGGCGTTCGCTGAGCTGGGTTCAGTGGGGCCAGCCAGAGAAGTGAGGCTTGGTGGTTGCATCTCGGAGACCAGACAGGGCATTTTACCCTCCCACATCTTCTGTTTCTGGCTCAAGCAAATGTCGTTTCATCAGTTACAGCTGGGTCTGTTTTCACTTTGTGCATGTGTGTTTTGGAACAAAGCAGAAACAGGCTTCTACGTACCACTGTAATCCCTCGCTGCCTGGAGGACTGCGGTGTGCGGGTGGGTCTGGGGCTCCCAAGGGCTGGCCCGGATCTGTGCCGTCACGAGCCCCTTGACCTGGGGCTCATCCGTGTGAACCCGAGCAGGCGGGATGCCTTGAGCCAGGAGAGGCTCTCCTCCGCTCGGCTGCCGGGCTGAGTTTGCAGCTGATGTTCTCCATTTCCAGGCTCTTGCGTTAGCAAAGTCTGAAGGTGATTTATCCAGCGCAGGCGTTGCTGGTGGCTCTCTGGTCCCAGATGACAACATCCCTCATCGCCTCCCTGCACTTGCCTGTTGTTAAGGACGTTCTCTCCTTGCTAGAAAGCTTATTTCCACAGTCCTAGAGCGCCGGCATCCAGCCCTTGTTAGATGATATTTACAGCCCCTTCCGTGGGGCTCGGCGCCTGCAACCCTTCAATTCAAACAGGAGGGGAACATCGCATCCATCTTCCGGCTGATGCTGCGTGTCGCGGTGCGAGGCTGTGCTCCTCCCTGCCTTCCACCCCGGAACAGCCGTTCTCTCCCCTGCCGGGCATGTGTGAAATGGTACCGCTCTCAATCTCTGCCTCATTTCTCTTTTGCACTTGTCACGCATTGCGTGCGCATTCCCGGGCTTCGGCAGCGAGCTGGAGAAGATGGTTTCTGCCCTGCAAAGCCTCTGCCCTGCGGGGGTTGTGCTCTGCCCTGGGGACAGGCTGCAGCGTTGCACCGCAGGTCTGCGCTGGTAAATCCACCCAAGGCAGCTGTGCTGCCGGCGGTGACACTTTATTACCCCAGGATCAGCTGGGGTCGGTGTGTGTGCTGCAGGTGCGTCGTGCCTTCAGCCTGTGTCCGGGCAGAGACGCCTTGCTCCCTCGGGCCGTCCCCTCTGTGGGCTTCTTGGTAGAAAACAAATGCTTCCTTGCTGGTAAAAAATAAATCACTTACGTGCAGGTCGTGTGGCCGCGAGCCCGTGACTGACACGGTGTCACCCATCGGGGTCTGCAAAGAGCTGTCTGCCGGAGCTTCCCTCCAGCCTGGCGTTGCCTCTTAACGCTGCCCAGGTCTCCCTGCCAGCAGTTCCTTGCCTTTCTCGCTGCTCTCGTACAATCCCCGCTTTCCCCGCTTCACGAATCATTTCCCACAGGGCACCCTAGCAAACGCTGTGCTCAAATCCAGCTCGATGCCGATATAAACTTGTCGGGGGCTCTTGTAACAAAGCCCGCGGTCGCAGGTGAACACGTCTGCACCTAGGTCTGGTTTTTGCATCTCCTAAGCCCAAATTTGGCGAAATGCTGCTGACGTGCAGTTGCCCTGTTTGCTCCCAGGGAGGGTGCGGGTCCCTGTGGTCTGGCAAGAGGAATGGGTCAGCCTGCTCCTTCCCCGTCTGACCCCACTCGGAGCGGCAGGTTGGGCACGTGGCGCCCGGAGGTCCCTTTGCCACCCAAATCCTGCAGCGCTTGAAGAAGCAGTGGCGCAAGCCCTTAGCTGCACGGGTGCTCGGTGTGCAGAGCGCCCTTCCGCTGCGTGCACAAGCAGTGGGTTCATTTCACTGGGAGAGGTCAGGGTGGGTTCCTGCCTGGTGCATTTTGTCCCATTCCTACTGCTGTGCCTTCCCTTTTCTAAAATTATGGCTGGCCCAAACCTTCCTTACAGCCCCGCTGCCACAGCCCGTCACA